ATAAGAGATGTATAGAAAATTGTAACGATATGGCAACACTGGTTCTGCGAATTTACTTTAGGATTATTACTTGAACGAACGTAATCGTTTATAGCAGTTTTTTAGATGCTGAATACGAATCCATTTTCGAAATTTAATCATCACTTCATAATTTTTAGAAAAAGGATAATAAGATAAAAAGGAAAACAAGATAAAAAGGATAATAAGATAAAAAAGTGAAAAAAAAAACAATAATTTGAGAGGTTTTTATTATCTTGTAACATCAGCAGCAAATTTTTCTTCTAAATTTTTTTAATACCATATGAAAGTATCAACCTTTAGCTCTAAAATAGATTTTGTTCCGTTTAGGTACGATTTTCCATTTTTGAGATGTAGCAATTTGAAAAAAAAAAAACATATTACATTTTACCAATTTTATTTTATTGCTTTTTGATTTGTGTATTCCTATTATAAAGGGTATTTTTTTAAGCCCGATAGAACTTGAAATTGTAAAAAATAAAACAAAAAATTAAATTTTAATAAAAAAATTTTTTTTATTTCTTTCAGTATACACTGGCAAATCATTATGAATAGACTCACGCTTGAACAACGCTACCAAATTATCCAAAATTAAGATCCGTTCTGTAAACTATCGGCGAAAATTGCTTCATTTAAGTTGATTTCGAGAAATGGAACTGTCAATTGGCCTCCAAGGTCGTGCGATTTGACCCCTCTCGATTATTTCCTCTGGGGCTACGTCAAGTCACTGGTTTATGCTGATAAACCAGCAACAATTGACGCCTTGGAGGACAACATTGTTCGTGTTATTCGTGACATACGGCCGGCACTGCTCGAAAAAGTCACTCAAAATTGGACGTCCAGAATGCGCTTCGTCAAGAACAGCCGCGGTGGCCATATGCCCGAAATCATTTTCAATTGTTAATGCCATACATTGATCTTTCGAATAAAAAAAAATTTTTGATTATAATTGCATTTTTGTGCTAGTTTTTACAGTTGTAAGTTCTATCGGGCTTAAAAAAACACCCTTTATATTTTATATAAATACAAAAACATTTACTTTCTACGTAATTAATTATTTTATTGCAATATTGAATTGTCCTTTCCTTATATTACACAGGAAAAGGCTATTTCAAAATTGTTATATCTTAAAAGGAAAAAATTAACTAGTACAATTCAATTATAAATAAGCAAAGAATATAGTAATGAATTATGAAAAAATAATACGCATGATTCTCAGTGAATCACATTAGAACGATTTCGTACAAAACTATACTACCTGCAATTATAAATAAAATCAGTATATTGTAATCGTTTATTCTGTTTGATATAATATCTCATAATATTTTTACATAGCAAGCTATTATGTAGCAATTTCTCTTTGTAACCTATTGAATGATAACAGACCAATAGCTTCTCCTCGACCTCAGACGTATCATTTGAATGCATGCATACTTAGGAATAACAACGTTTTCTATTCTTATTTAACAGACGATGTATCTAATCTAAATAATATCGGCGACAAAAACATGATGATCGTAAGTATTTTATATCTTTTCGCCATAATCGACATTGTTCGTTCATTTTATCAGGAAACTCATGTCGACCGATTTAAAGGATTTTACAATCGAGTAAAAGATAACAAAAAGATAACTTGAACAAACGGTGCCAACTTAGGTACTTCCTGTGGAAACAAAAGCTCTTTAACATATTTTAGAAATATCTTATCACCCGAATATTTCTATCAACAATTCTCGGAACTACTTTTCATGACTATACACAGTGGATTCAATGAAGATTACTTGAAAGTGATCAAAAACGAAATCGATTGATATCCAAAGTACTATGTACGGTGATACATTCAAAGTAACAATAAAAAAAGTACCTTCTTATGGTACTTTTAAGAATAGCACAGTAGATGGCCTAAAATAGTCAGGCTGTTTATAAATACGCTATCAGACACCATAAACGGCATAGTGGTGTGTACAAACGACTTACAGAAAACTAACGTGACGTACTGCCACAGGACTCGTATATATATGACTAATACGAAGAATAGTACAGCACCCAACACAAGCACACTGTCGCTGTCGGCATGAAAAAACCGAAATAATCGAAAACCAATATTAATCCTTACAATACAAGCTACAATTTGGCCTCATCCGTCTAAACATGGGTAGAATCCCGGTAAAATCCGTCCGTTTTTTTAATCTATTCAAAATGGTTAAAAAAATCTCTAAAAGTTCATCAATAGATATTTTCAACTTTTTAGAATTTTCTAGAATATTGAAACTTTATTTTGAAAAATAATAAAAATGAAGTATCATTTATAATATAATTACCGAAAAACTCAAAGAAACTGGCACGAACAGGAATCGCTCGGTCACTAATAACCCAACCTTATACGGTAAGGGTTAAGAATAGAGTGACACATACTTAATTAAAAAATTAGATTGTTGTTTAAAATATATACTTGTAAAAGTGTTTTAAAATTGTAATGCACACACACATATCTTGAAGAAAAATTAGTCAATTTATCAAAAAATGTATACATATTTAACGTTTTGTGGACGGTTATGCTCATTTCAGTACCTACCTCTTTGTTAGATAGCTTTTGTTTTTAAAAAAAGTTAAGATTCTAAATAACAGCTTCTTTTTCTAAAGTTTTAATATTTTATATCTTATTCCGTCGCTTATCATTTGCATTGCACAAACTAAGTAAGTTATTTTACAATATAATTATGATATAACAAAATCAAATTACTATATTTTATTGTTAAAGGATAAAATAATTAAATTAATTTCATCTTTCAATACCGTATTTATTGAATTTAAACATTAAAACAAGGTTAGTTAGATTACATAATAAAGATTAGGCATTTTATTTAATTCACTGATTACCAGTGGCATACTTGATATCAGTGATTATCCACTGATTCAGATTTAAAGAGTAGATATCTAATATAGGTATAAATGTGTGTGCTTTAATGTACAAAACTTTTCAGTTCAGTTTCAATAACACATTAAAAAATAAATCGATCTAGTTTTTATAAGCATTTGTTGACTAAAAGAGACAAGAATGTTATCTCATCACGAAAAACGTATATAGAACGAGCTGTATGACATAAGTGTTACAAATAAGAGTACATCATGAACGTTGCGCTTCATTCAGCCAATAAAATCTTGCAAAACGATTTACAATTTACATTTCGCTTGAGATTTGGCACCGCAACAGAAATATGACTGATTAGTACGGCGTCAGTTTATAATATAATAAGATAAGCATTTCGACCTTCTGTATTGCGAAATGTTATTACGATTTCGCGATAATGTCTCTTTTCATTGTGATGAAATAAATGTTTTTACAGCATCAAAATAAATGACTAAGTGAAATTATAAAGATAATAAAATACTAAGATAATAAAAACTAAAATAATAAGATAAAATGTCATTGAAAAAATAATATTTTTTTACTATGAAGCGATCATAAAGTTCCTACACAAAAATAATTTGAAAGAGGAAGTTTCTTGTCAAGACAGTTTGTATTGTGAAATGTTATTACAACCTCGTGATGAAGTTTATTTTTATTTCCATATTTTCCATACATATTTTCTTATAGTGTTAATCTAAATAATAGACAAACTGAAGTTATAAAGATAATAATATTTAACGATAGATAATTAACAATGAAATAAAACGATGAAACAAAATGTCGTTGGAAAAACATTTTAAAAACATGAATTATGTAATTTCTATACAAAAATAACCTAAAACAGAATAGTTCTTTGTCAAGACAATTATGACTACCATTAGAGTGAATTGCTGTGACTCAACAAACTGTCTTGTACTAAAAGTATTGGGTAGTGAGTTATTAGTAAAGTAAAATGTCACGTAAAATATCAACGACTTCTGCATATAATACATCTCCTTTAAAATTAAGTGACAATTGACTTCGAGCCCGCACAATGGAAGATTTGTAATCGGGCGAACGTGACTTATGTTTGCCGTGAGCGATATCGCGGCATGTCACTGTTGTCATTTAAATGGTCTGATAGCGCGTATCACGTGTCGCGTACATCGTTATTATCATCGAAACGTGCGTACCACACGTGGATGTCTCTAATCGTTACCACGATATTTGTCAGTGCACGCTTTGGCAGTACTAACTGCGACTCCTACTATACTATTTATACATCGCTCGAAATAATGCTTCATGAATATCTTTTGAGGTTTTGTAAAAGTCAAAAGTCATGAGAGAACAGTTTCAAAAATTCAGAAATCTGTCGAGGAAATTTTCCACGTTTGAAACAGATAATAAATGCGATTCAGAAATTTAAATTTGTTTTTATCTTGATTACGTTTCTATTGTAATATATCTAATCTTATCTTTTTTCTATCTGACTCACAATAGACAAAATGGAAATTATCTATACATCAACGTTTTTCCAAACTTTGATGTTATCAATTGTCATCTTCAATATTCAAAACCGTCTTTTTTTATGAAACTAAAAATCTATTCTATCGCGAAGAAAATGAATGTTTTATTTGTATTTTTAAATCTTAACTATCATTTTTATTTTTTATGTACAATTGCCTTGTTTGTAATATATGGTATTAATATAATCATAACTTTAAGTAAGATCGTCTAATTGTTCTTTAATAAAAAATCAGAGTTTTAATTTTATTTAATTTTGAAATAGAGATAAGATCCATTGAATTGATATCGGATTGCCGAATTAGACGATCTTACTTAAATTTATGATTATACTAATACCATATATTACAAACAAGGCAATTGTACATAAAAAATAAAAAAAAAATATATATATATATGCAGTAAAAACAAAATGTTGATATAATCGGCGTTCGGAGTGACGCACAAAAGTGAGAAGTGGGGGTGTGTCGATCATGGAAGGGGAAATAGTTGGTCTAACACGCGTGCGCATCCTCGTATTTTTTTACCCCCACCGACTTACTCGTTGCTCTATATATGACGTATACAAGTTGCTTTTGCCTACACTCGTAGTAATCGAAAAGGAATTCTTATACTAGGTTGGATCACATTGGACCACCGCTGTATCACAAATTCAGGTATAATTATCGGTTAATTACATGCAAATTGCACACAAATTTTTTTTTTCTTTATTGTTGATTATTTATTTTCTCAGCAAAACAGCATCAAATAATAATTTTTTCTTTTTTAAATGTTTGCAGTAGAATTATTGTATTTATTTGTACTATTTTATAATTAATTTAAAAAAAGCAGTTTACAATAGATATTTTGTTCTTTATCATTAATTTTTAATGATAGATTTTCTGATTTATCTTCTGGAATAGATTTTTTTTTTAACTAAAATATTGAGAGAGTTTATTCATCCAATCGAATACCGATTTTTTTTTTAATAATTGATAAAAATCAGAAACTTTGCATTCTCACTGCATCATTAGTGATGTGTCACAAAAATAATTTTAGGCTACAACAAATAGGTTTTTTAACAAATCTAATCTATTAGTACTATTTACTATTTTAGATTAATGATTTACAAATTCGCATATTGAGAGAGAGGGGGGGAGGAGGAGGAGGAGAGAGAGAGAGAGAGAGAGAGAGAGAGAGAGAGAGAGAGAGAATGTGTACTGACGGCGTTAATATTTTTTCTACGCGTTTTTTCCTAATATGTATTGTTAAAATACTATTTTTTAAATTTTATGAAATCGCTTTGATGGTACATCCTTGAGACCATAAAAGATTTTTACATTCAAAAAGTGTAAAGGAATCGATTTTTTTATCCTGTAAAATAGAAAAGTCCTCCTTAAATTGATTATAATTTTAAAACGTTTTGTTTACATTATTATACTTATACTTACTTTGTATCATGCGTTTAAAGAAGAATATAATTATTAAATATTAACTAATAACTATTATAATGTACTTTACTCCGAAGTTTCTATGAGTGCACGAAATGCGAGGTCAAGCGCGTACGGAAATACTACTTGCACGTAGTAATCACGTGCACTTATCAGCCATCGGAAAATTACTCCTCGGATGCTTATCATTTAAACGCACAAATATTTAGTAATTAAACTACGATATAAAACACCCATTTTTACTGTTATTTTTAACGAACAAATTTAATAAATTTTTTTCTAGTAAAACTATCATGTTAATAATTTAATATAAATAGTATTTTATAAAATTAACTTTTAATTTAATTTAAGTTAATTTAATTTTTACGTAATTTTTAACTAACAATAAATTAATTTTTTGTTTATGCAACTTGTAATTTAACTAAGTTAATCTTATATAGAGAAAGAGACATTAATTTAACTTGTTAGTTAAAAATATAATTAATAATCTTGCTGATATGGAGCGTTTTCTAGCAAGGATACAGTATAACATATTGCAGTAAATCACATTCTTCTTGTTTGCTATCGTTAAACAAGAATGAATGAAATAATTCGCTGTATTACACTGTGTCCTTGCTGGAAATCGTCCATGATAACTCAAACAACTAAATTTTCTCTATAGCTATTATTTTCTTGTTGCCAGTGTAGAAAGTTCTACCAAAGGCTTTATTATGGCGGAATCTTTAGAGCAGATGACAAAATCCGACACTATAAGACTTCGCGATCGATATATCGGGTAAGTATAACGCTTATAAATAAAATATAAAGTACTAATTGTTTTGGATCCTAACGCATTTTAAACAATATGCAATTTAATAAACGCCAACTAAAAGTAACGTAATATCAATGTTATAATTTTACACTCAATAATATAGTCATGTGTTATATAACAGTTACATTGTTATTGTGTGAAATTATAATAATGATTACGTTATTTTTAGTTGATGTTTATTAAAAAATATATAGATAACAAAAATGACTATAGTGACGGTTTATTTTATTTCTAGACAATCGTGCAAGTTATTTTACAAGTCGAATCCATTAAAAATTGTGAGGGCTGAAGGACAATACATGTATGATGAAAAGAATAATCAATATTTGGACTGCATAAATAACGTTGCGCATGGTACGTATCTTTTAATTTTTTAAAATGAAGTAATTTGTCATCGTTAAGTATCATCTTAATGATGAGCATAATCGCGGATTCTTTTTACGTAGCATAGCTTTTAACCATCATGACTTAACTCTCTCGTAGTTGGCCATTGCCATCCGGATGTCGTGCGAGCCGGACAGGAACAGATGGCTTTGTTATCCACGAACAATCGTTTCCTTCATGATAATTTGGTACTATGCGCAAGTCGACTGGCGTCACTTCTGCCGGAACCGCTGTCCGTTTGCTTCCTGGTGAACTCCGGGAGCGAAGCTAACGATCTTGCTCTTCGTCTCGCTCAGACTCACACGAAGAACAAGGATGTTATTACATTGGACCAGTAAGTTTCTCCGTCTGGACTGTCTGGACTGTCTGGACAAAATTAATCCTCTGTATGCGACATTTCTATAATATTCTATTATTGAATTCCACGCGCTACGTCACGATAGTTCCTTCGGTTAATGAGATGAATATCGAATGAACTCCCGTGTTCCGTTCCTACTCGGATCTTCTCGACGTAAGCAATGTGTTATCTGTTTCAAATATGTTGGATGTTTCAGGATGCGAACAAACACGATGAGAAAATTCAGTGCCGAATTAATGAAATCGATTTGTTTTTTTACAGCTTCTTACCGTTCTAAATCGACAAAGATGTATGCGTCGGCTATTTTGGGCATCCAGATCGATCACGTCAAACATATCCGGATATGGGCATCCGATTCTTTTCATCGCGGCGGAAATAGAATTCGCCGCCATAAAGATCTTGTCGCTGTTTTTAGGTGGCGTAAGTCTTATGACCGACGTATCGTCCCAATATGTATAAAATACAATTCATACGTTTTCTCGTTCTATCGGTGAGGACGCTGAATATTGGACTGGACTTATCCGAGAGAGAGAGAAAGAAAGAGACAAACGCTAGATAATGGTTCAAATGAAAATGTAAATATAAAATAAAATGTAAAGACAAAGCGAAGTCACATCTAGCGACTCTGTCAAAGTCGAGTGCCAATTCTAAAAATACATAAAGTTGTGTAAAAACGTTGAGATAATAATGTACTTGTTACTAATATGTTATGTAGTTTATAAAAAAACGAGATAACGATAATATGTACGCTTGTGCTCCATTATTAAAACAGCTGCGCTATGGACTTTACGCTTTGTCTGTCTATCATTGATAGCTCAGGGCAGCTCGAGACTACACGAATTAATAATTATTTCACGTTTTTGCTCGGGTTTATGAATGAGAAGCCCTTGGCGACTACACGGACACGTGCGACTATCGTAGCCACACGGTGGGGTCATTGAGAATCTTCGACAACAATAGGAAAAAGCTAAAAAGAGTTTACATTTTCAGGAACTGCTTTTAGTTAATAAAATAATACTCAATAATTCTTAGAAAGCTACTATTGTAGCCTTGCAGGGATTTAAATTTTGATGAACGTAACTGCCAGAGTAGAAATTTTTATTCACGTTTATCTCTTTGCTTTTAGTGCTTATCACGGACATTTGACCACGATAATAGATATCTCGCCATACAAATTCAATAAACCTAATGGTACCGGCAAGAAGGATTGGGTGCATGTGGTAAATATTCTAAATACTTTTTCAACAAAATTATCGATCAATTGATCTACATTCTTATGAATAATTATGCATGTCATATGTGCACGTAAGCAATAATTGTTAATTTAACGTACATTAACAACCATGTCGTCTGCAGCCATACCTTTAAGTTAAATTATTTACCGTTAAAATAAATGTAATTTATTATATATTAGATAATTTTTTTTCATTATATAGGTATGAAGAGATAATTTCTATTCATTATATAGACCCGTATTCAGAACGCGCTTTTATCTATAAAATTCTATAGTATGCGTAACGTAAATTATAGTTAGCGCGTTAACATCGTTGTAAGCGCATTCTGAATATGGACCTATGTATTTATATCGTTTATATTATTGAGCGAAACACAATATATTTCAGAGCGTTAGGGACATTTTATAAAAGTTACTGATACAAACAGTAAAAAAAAGTAACACGTTACCAAAAAAATAACAGAAACGGTAACGGCGTTATGAGTAACACTGAGTGTTTTATACATTGCTGCTTTTTTTCTGTTAGGCTCCTTGCCCGGATGTGTACCGTGGAAAATATCGCGCCATCGATTACATCGACGAGGATCTTGGTGTTAAATACGCTGAGGATGTAAAGCAAATCTGCAAAGACATCAAGGCTCAAGGACGTGGAGTTTGCGCTTACATCGCGGAAAGTCTCATGTCAGTCGGTGGACAAATTCTGCCGCCACCGAATTATTTCCAGAATGTATACAGGTATATAGGAGACCATTTTATTATTTATATATAGACACGCGTTACACAGGACGACCATAATACTAAAATAAGTACATGAAATTTAATTTTTAATTCAATACTCAATATTTAATTTTTTATATGTTTATGACTAAATACTGTGTTTTTTTAAACAAAGCTAAGTTTTTTAAATCTCTGTTTGTATGAGAGGTCTCATTACTCCCTCTGTTCCTCTTTTGTTCCATTATGCAATGTCGTCATATTTTTATAATGTCTTTTGTAATAAATATTTCGTAATTCCAAATCTAGAATTGATTGAGGAATATTTTGACAAATGTAATCGCTAAATTTTCCATTCAAATATTAATTGTTAATAAAGTTATTGCATAAAATATAAATAGGGCCACCTTTTGCTCTGTGATTATGTTCATATTATTGAGTATAAAATTATAACACTAATGTGTTGTATTACTGTTGGTTGTTATTTACTGAAAAATAGCGATATGGGAAAAAGAATATAATGGAATAAATTGATCTTATAGGCACGTACGCGAAGCAGGAGGAATCTGTATTGCGGATGAAGTTCAAGTCGGTTTTGGAAGAGTCGGCACTCACATGTGGGCCTTTCAATTGTACGGCGAAGACATTGTCCCGGACATAGTTACGCTAGGCAAGCCCATGGGCAACGGTCATCCTGTTGCAGCTGTCGTTACGACGCCAGAAATCGCGCGTAGTTTTTATAATACGGGCATCGAATACTTCAATACGGTTAGTTTGGAAAGATGTTATTAGCATTAGCGTTTCAAAATTGCTGTTAAAAATATTTATCTCTGTGACTAAAAATATTCTGTGTAATTTTAGTATGGAGGTAATCCTGTATCCTGCGCAATAACGAATGCGGTAATGGAGGTTATAGAACGTGAGGGTCTTCAGGAGAATGCTTTGAAGGTCGGTAATCATCTGCTCGCAGAATTGAAGAAATTGGCGAAGCGACGGAAGATTATAGGTGATGTGCGCGGCGTTGGACTGTTCGTCGGCATCGAATTAGTACGCGACAGAATTAAAAGGATACCAGCGACGGCAGAGGCAAAGCATGTGGTATCCAGGATGAAAGAGAAGAAGATTCTTATCAGCAGTGACGGGCCTGACGATAACGTTCTGAAATTGAAGCCGCCAATGGTCTTTACACTCGAGAATGTTAATCATTTCGTATCCGTTCTCGATAAAGTACTCGAAGAAGTTGATATCGACTTTGACGAGGTAATTTGCATTTTGCATTTACTTAGATATGCCGCCAATTATAATCTTTATCAAAATAACAAACCAATGAAATACTATTTTTTTTAATAGTATTTCATTTTATAATAGTATCAAATTTTTTTTAATAGTTATAGGAATTAATATAAAATGGAACTATTTTTTCTAATTCTAAATTTATTAAATTTATACACTTGAAAACTTTAAAAAATAATATAGTTAATATATATATGTATATATATAATTTCAGGAATCGGAACCTACTACAACTATTATCAAAGCAACAATCTCGTCTATAGGAGTCGATAGAAGTACCGCGGTGAATAGCAATGGAAATTCATTATTTGTTCGCGCTAATTAATAATGTATATTATACAAATATTGCAAATATTGAATTTAAGACAATTTTATATAAAAAGAAGTATTATTATTTTTAAGATTAATATTATACCTCTGACTATGATATATTTTTATATAACTTTATCAGAAATATACGTAAATAAAAGTTAGCATTATTTTAGTAAAATAAGGTAATAATATTAAGATATTATAAAATATATTCAACAACACATTTTTACATAAATGAAATTGTTTATTGATTACAACCTTTCTATAGCAAAATAATTTTATTTTGATATAAAATTACATACATATTCAATTTTGTAATATATGTCAGTACAAGTTACTCCCTAAATATTTGGAAATGTTAAAGCTTTTCTAAATAATCATGTTTTATTTTCTCCGTACTTTTTTATATTTTTTAAAATTCTATTACCAAAATAGTTATTTAATTAAATATATTGTATTGTATTTATAATCTCTTGTTCAATTTTTTTATATGTGAGTTTATATTGCTCGAACTTTTTTCAAAAGTAACACAATTCAAAAAATTAAATTTTTTAGTAAAGGGAAATTATTTTTTAACTTGAAAGTTAATGATTAATCAAATATTATCGACAAAAAATAATATTTTTAACATGATCAAATGTCATTTTGATTATTTTCGTTTTACAACTCTTAAGAAATTATTCTTTTTTAGTTGTAATGATTTCGACGATTTTTTAAACTCTCTTTAGCCTTTCTTCGAAGTTACATATATATCTTATTACTAATATATCAATATTTTGTTGATTTAGTCGAATAAGAGAGAAATAAATATTTGACTATAATTGGTCAATCCTTCTCAAACAGACTACGGCATAAATTAACAGATTAAGGCCAGTATAAATCTTTTAATGCTTTTGCAAAAAAATTATTGAAACTACCAAATCTATTGTTAATTTATATTTAGAGGTTGATATTTGTTGATTTCACGTTGTATAAATTTATTTAGAGCCACGAAAAATTCGGGCTATAGAGGGTTGAACCTTTTTTAAGTTTGTAACAATTTTGATAATTTTTTAGTTCAGTTATTTTATTTTTTATGGTTATAAGTCATGTTTTATGGTCATATCTCGAAAATTACGTTTTATGTCACTTTAGAAGTACAAAGGATATAATACGTTTGATTAAAGCCATATGTGTCTAGATTACTATGGATTCTATATCTCTCATAAAAAGGCTTATTTTACGGATGTACATATATAGACAATTGGCTAATAATTTATTTCCGTAAAAAAGTAAAATACTAAGGCAATTAAGACAATTAAAGTTTGACTTAGGCCGTTGCACCATTAATGATATATTATATAATAATCATATATTATATAATAAAAATTTAATGTGCAAACTCAGTAACAAGCAAATGAATGAGTGAACGTTCGAGAAAATATGTGAAAAGTAAGATAAGAATATAAGTTTACAGAATATAAAAATCACATTTTTTTAAATAGAAGTATTTCCGATAAGATAGATTAAGTTAATAAATGCAAATCAAGTAGAGAATGATGTAAACAGATTGATACAATAATTTGTAATATTTTTGTATACAGAATGTTTTAAAAGTGAAAGTTAATCGCTCGCGTAATTGACCTTTGTTTTTAAAACATTCTGATGATAAGAAATTATCAATAATTTCATCATCAATAATTTCGGAGAAAATTGAGTGGATTGATTAAATTGGATTGGTTAAAATAAGACATTCTTTATATCTTATAATTATAAGTGCAACAATATGCACAAGTTAAATTTTTAGAGATACATACATATTTTTATGTATATTTTTATTAATTGCAAAATATTGCTACTATCTTTTTATTGAAAAAGTAACAAATCAAGTGGTAAAAAAGTTTTATAGCCGCAGAGTACTTTTGTATAAACGCGTAATGCATAAGCGAATCATCTGATCAGAATCTTTCCTTTCCTCTCATTTCATGGAAAAGAAGAATTTTGATTGATTCTGTTGTGCACTATGCATTATGTGTTATGTAAGAGTCTGCGGCAATTACTCCTTATAAAAAACAAAGTTAGAAAACAATTGCCGGTTTATTCTTTCGTCTTTATATATATATTACCGATTAAATAATAATTTTTTTTTCTAATACAAGAAGATCCTATTCTAATTTCTATAAAGTTTGTATATATACATATAAAGTACATAAAAAAATTTTGTAATAAAAAATATATATTTTTCTCAAATACTTTACTTAAATATTTTTTTAAATATTTTAGTAGACAAATAGTACTTAAAGGTTGAAAGTACATAAAAATTAAATCTCTAGCACATATTTTTTATTAATTACAAATACACAATTTATCATCTGGAAAAAACAAATTTTAAAAATACTTGTATGCGAGTGTGTACGTGCGCGCGCGCGCGCGCGTGTGTGTGTGTGTGTGTGTGTGCGTGTGAAAGAAAATGTTACTTAAAAATTTTCTAATCACGTAATCATAGTTAATAAATATCTCCTGCATTAACACCGATATCTCACGGATCAAAGTTTGACTTTTAACTTTCATTTAGCATTGGAAAATGTGTGCAAGTTCACGTTACATCCGCTAATATCTCCCATTGCTCGCTTTTCGGAAACATTTTCATTCATGATAAGATACAAATAAGAAAAAAATAAAATAGCATTTAATGACATAGAATCGTTTCGTAATCATTGTACTATCAATCTTCAAATGTCAAGCAAAAATTCAACACGTGCAGAAAATTATCAATGGTCTTTTAAGAATCAATGCTTTCTATGTTTCTGCTTATCCAACAAAACAACGATATATTAAGTGAAACTTACCTGATTAAAAAGAATTTTTTTGTTAAATTTTATATAAATATGTATATGTGTGTATATATACATATATATATTATATATAGGATACAAATAATTTCTGCAAAAATTTTACAAAATTTAAATATGTATAATTTAAAACACACACACACACACACACACACACACACACACACACACA